CCCCAGCCATTATGTTAGCTATTTTATTTTTTTTTTTGTTTGCTTATGTCTGTCTGTCTATAGTTTTCCTGGTATAGCAATTCCTTCAGTACTTCTTTAAGAGCTGGTCTGGTGTTGGGAATTCTTTCAGGTTTTGTTTATCTGAGAATGTTTTTATCTTTGCATTTGAAGGATAATCTTTCTAGATATAGTAATCTTGGCTTAAATATTTTTTTCTTTTAGAGAGAGATTTTTTGCTAAAGTCGTGTTCACTTGCCAGAGAGACAGAGTGTGATAAAAAGCGACATCCCCCAGTGGGAATGGCCATGCTGTAACCTATTTTTTTTTCTTGGGATTTTGAGCAGGCATGCACAAACACCTGGTGTGAGTTTTAAGCCACTGGGTCTGGGACTCGAGCCATGGTCAACTACGTGGGAGTCCAACGACGTAACCACTGTACCATCTGCTGGTCCCTTGTTTTTCTTTTATCACTTTGAATGTATCTTCCCGTTGTTTCCTTGCTTACATTGTTTTTGCTGAATGGTCTGATGTTAGCCTAATGAGATAACCTTTGTAAATAACATGGCGTTTCTCTCTTACCATTTTTAGAATCTTCTCTTTATCTGTGATTTTGACTGATCTGGCTATGATATACCGTGGAGAGGATCTTCTTGGGTTGATTCTTTTTAAGGTCCTTTTTATTTCTTGGGTCTGGATGATTAAATGGATCTCTGGATTTGGAAAGTTTTCTTTAAGGATTTCATCGAATAGATTATCAATACCCTTATTAGATTCTTTGCCTTCTGGGATAACAATTACTTGGATGTTTGGGCATTTAATAGTATCTGGTGTTTCCCACCTATTCCCTATTTTATTATTTTTTGGGGGTATTTTTTTCATTCTGTTTTGTCGTCTTGCTCTGAGATTCAATCTTCTGCCTGATCTAATCTGCTTTTAATACTTCCGGGGGGGGGTGCTTTGATTTTCTGTATTAGTCCTCAACTCTAGAAATTCTGTTTGATTCTACTTTATATTGTCTATCTTCTCCTTCATGACATGAAAGGACTTCCTCATCTCTGGGAGTTCGATGTCTCTTTTTCTCTTGGATCACAGAGTTTTGTTGCCATAAATTTTCTCAATACCTTTTCTGACATTTCAGTAATTTCCTATTATTTTTCCATACTTGGAGACAGTTACTGTGTCCCCTTTGTAAAGATGTATTTCTTGGTTTTCTCATACTTGAGGCTTTTCTCCAATTTTTAGTCATTTGGTGATGTATTCACTTTTGGCTAATTTGTTGGAGGAGATTTCTACAACTGTGAGCTTAGGTGTTTCCCATTATTGTAAGGCACTTCTGTGCCAGTTTCCCTCTTATACTGTGTTTTGTAATGTAGTATCCACAGGAGGAGTTCTGAATTCAGATTTATGAAGAGGGGTATCTCCCTTTTTGTAGCTGGTTCAGTGGGGGGCGGGGGGGCGGGGGGGGGGTTTCTCTGCTCCTTTCTAGCTTTTGGCCATTAGGTTGGAAGATAGGACTGCAGTTTGGGGCTGCTCAGCTCTCAGGCTGGTCCCTGAAATGGGGAGAGCACCTCAGATGTAGATGTCTCCTTAAGAGACCTGTAATGCTCCTGTGCTTTCTAGCTTTGGTCATGTGAGGTAAGGTTGGAAGAGGGGAGCTTCAGCTTGGGACTGCTCATTTCTCATGCTGGTCCCTGAAGTGGGCAGAGCACCTCAGATGTAGATGTCTCCTTAAGAGGCCTACAATGCCTCTGTGCTTTCTAGCTTTCCACCTGGGAAGTAAGGTTGAAAGAGGCTACAGCTCAGGGCTACTCATCCCTCATGCTGGTCCCCGAAATGAACAGCTCTTTTTTAATTTTTTAATTTTCAGAAGGCATGCAACATGCACCAGAGAGAGAAAGTGCTCTCCAGTGGGGCTTGGTTACACCATAGTCCCTTTTCCTCCATTCCTCTATCCTGTGAGGATTTGGGCATGTAGGCACACATGCGTAGGTTTTTTTTCTTTTCTTTTTTTTTTTT